TTTTTTTTAAAAGAAAGGAGCATTACAAACACAGGAAGGAACCAACTGCGGGGTACACGGGCCAAGACACGGGGACGGCAGCCAGCTGTGGGTAGAATCTGGCACAGCCAAGCCCAAGAGCTCAAACAGTACACCGACTCCCTGACAAGGCCGCAGAGATCGTAGTCTCACATCACCAATAACTGGAAAATAAGGAGAGGAATCCTACCGGGCCCCTCTGGGTGGAGACGGTTGTAGCCGCCATGTCCAATCCAGCTAAGCCGCACTCTCTTCCACCACCGCCACTACCCCTACAGCCGCTCTCAGCTCCTTCTCTGGGTGGCGGAACTGCGACTGGGCTAAGGGCCGCTCACTACTCCTGCTCATTGGCTGAGGGAAGGGGTAGGAAATGAGCTCAATGCCTTGTCATTGGTTAATCCTCGTTCAGTGCCGGCGACCAGGCCCCTGCGATTGGCTGCTCCAGGGCAGGGTCTACACCCAAAGCGCTACGATTGGCTTTCTTGGGGCACAGCCGGCATTCACGAAGCGACGATTGGCTGCTCCTTGACAGGGGCTGGCACTCTGGGCCCTGTGATTGGTTAATTCTGGAGCAGGTAGATCTGAGCACGCTGATTGGTGGCAGCCTCTTCCCGCCCCCATGCGGTGGATGTTGATCTGCTTCTCTGGACACAAGCTCAGTGTTTCTAGCATTTTCTGCATTAGTACCCGAAGTCTGTCACCGCAAGCCTTTTCCTCTCAACTGTAGCTGCTGCTTGCTTTGCACCGGATTGAGGCTAGGGGACAACTTTTGTCCAACTGGTCATGCCGTGTTTTTACAGAAAGTATTTAAACCTGTTTAGAAATTTAAGACATATAAAGTTGTCACGGTCGAGTCGGTAGGCGACGTTAGCAACGAGTAACGCAAAGAGGTAGGTTTTAAGATAGGATAACTGTGATTCCAGGGACAGACAGCGTGGGAGTGCATAACGTACTCAGCATGAAAAATAATTTATGCATTTTAACAAGGCAAGGGTTTTAGCAGTCAGTATTTTCACAATTTGACGTGTGTAAGCAATTCAGAATAAATTTACCATGGTCGTGGTGTCACACTATTGTTGTAATGCATTCAAACACTTCATAAATATGGTAACACTTCATTGCTTTTCACATCCATGTGGCCTGTGTTGGCTCAACTGTGCAAAAAAAGGTATACTATTAATGAATTTGATTTGATTTATTATTGTCACATATATTTTGTTACAAATACAGTGAAAATTGTATAGTGTCACCATTATCCAGCACCATTTTGAAACACAGAAAATAAACCAAAATATAGAAAGTAAAGGCAGAAAATAAAGAAATGTTCAGCTTAGCAGTGGACCTGGATTTGGGCACTTCCCCCACCCCGATGCTAAGAACAACACAAGAATGAAGCAGTCAGCCTTTGCTGCATTGCCACCACTAGAACAGAGTTGCCATTCTTCACCACCATGTTGCCTCCACGAACGCTGCTGCCACCATGAGTACTTGCCGATGCTGCAGCCACCACCAACGCTGTTGAGTCTGTACGGGCTCAAACCTGACCCGAGTCTGTACCATAGTCCGACCTTGCCGATGCAGTCGCCGATGCTACTGGGTCTTGGATTGGGCCCAAACTTGCCTTTGCCATCAAGGGTCCAAAAACTTGCCACACATCTGCACTGAACTCACATTGCCGCCACTGATGCTGCTGCTCTCAATAAGAAGGTAAGTTTAAAAAAATGAAGAAAAGGAAAAAGAAAGACAAGCAACCAGAGCGAACAAGCCCGAACTGTTCCTACTACGTCTCCACCATCATGAAGTAGGATATGCTGTGACAGCATGATGATGTTTGGGGATAGCTTCATGTCCTGTTATAAATTGTCCTGGCAACACTCAAAATTGAAAATACTGATTGGCATACTGAATATTTACTTAGTGATGTAAACATTCTCTGGAAAATGGTTGTTAATACTGGTTGATTGCACTATTTTCATCCCAAGGAAAGAAACATACTAAGGCAAGGACGAGGCAACCATGGCTGACGAGGTAAGTCAGGGACAGCATAAAAGCAAAAGAAAAAGCATGCTGTGTTGGGAAGATTAGTAGGAAACTAGAGAATTGTGAAGCCTTTAAAAACCAGCAGGGGATAACTAAAAAAACACAATAAAGAGGGAAAAGATGAAATATAAGGGTAAGCTAGCTAGTAATATAAAAGAGGATTGCAAGAGTTTTTTCAGATATTAAAAAGGTAACAGAGAGTGAAGTGTAGACATTGGATAACTGAAAAATGAGACTGGGGAAGTAGTAAAGGAAACGAGAAATAGTGGAGTATCTGAATAGATACTTTGCATAAGTCTTCACTGTGGAATACACCGGTAACATACCAGAACTTCAGGAGAGTCAAGGGGCAGAGGTGAGTGTTATGGCCATCAATAAGAAGAAGGGGTTGAAAGGTCTGAAGATTGATAAATCATCCGTACCAGATGGACTACACCCCAGAGTTCTGAAGGAGATAGTTGAGGAGATTGTGAAGGCACTGGTGGTGATCTTTCAGGAATCATTGGAGTCAGGAAGAGTCCCAGAGGACTGGAAAATGGCTCTGTTTAAGAAGAGAGGGAGGCAGAAAATAGGAAACTATAGAACGGTTAGCCTTACTTCAGTCCCTGGTAAAATTTTAGAGTGCATTATTAAGGTTGAGTTTGCAGAGTACTTGGAAATGCATGATAAAATAGGACTGAATCACCAGTGCTTTCATCAAGGCTTCATGCCTGACAAATCTATCAGAATTCTTTGAGGAAGTGATGAGCAACTTTGCCGAAGGAGTGCCAGTGAACATGATCTATTTGGATTTCCAGAAGGCCTTTGATGAAGCGCTGCAGAGGAAGCAGCTAAATAAGAGAAGAGCCCATGGTGTTAGGGACAAGAAAGTGGCATGGATAGAGGCTTGGCTGACTGGCAAAGGGCAGAGAATGGGATTAAAGGGATCTTTTTCAGGATGGAATCCAGTGACTAATGGGGTTCAGCATGGGTCAATGTTGGGACCACAACTATTCATGTTATACATTAATGATCTGGATGTAGGAACTGCGGGAATTGTTGCTATGTTTGCAGATGACACAAAGCTAGGTAGAGGGATAAGTGTTTTAGAGGAAGTGGGGAGGCTCCAGAAGGACTTGGAAAGGCTAGGAGAATGGGCACAGAAGTGGCAGATAGAATACTTTATGGTCATGAACTTTGGTCGGAAGAATAGAGGTGTAGGTGATTTTCTAAATGGGGAAAGGCTTTGGAAATCTGAAGCATAAAGGGACTTAGGTGTTCTAGTTCAAGATTCTGAACTAGAACATGCAGGTTCAGTTGGCAGTTGGGAAGGCAAACACAGTGATTGAAAGGGCTGGAATATAAGAGTAGAGTTATACTGAGGATGCTGTATAACTAGCCTTTCCAAGTCCTTCTGGTCAGACTGCATTTGGAATATTGTGAGCAATTTTTGGGCTCCATATCTAAGGAAGGATGTGCTGACCTTGGAGGGGGTCCAGGGGACGTTTTCAATAGTCATCCTAGGGATGAAGGGTGAGGAGTGGTATGAGGAGCGGTTAAGAACACTGGCACTGTTCTTGATGGAGTGTAGAAGAATGGGGGGTGAAAATCTTATTTAATACTGAGAGGACTGGATAGAGTGGACGTGGAGATGGTTTCCACTAATAGGAGAGAAGAGGACCTGAGGACACAGCCTCAGATTAAAAAGATCACCCTTTAGAACTGAGATGAGATGGAATTTCTTCAGCCAGAGGGTAGTGAATCTGTGGAACTCATTGTCTTAGAAGGCTGTGGAGGCCAAGTCATTGAGTCTGTTTAAGACAAAGATGTATAGGTTCTTGATTAGTAAGGGTATCAAAGGTTACTGGGAGCTGGGAGGAGAATGGGTTTGAAAAACATATCAGCCATGATCAAATGATGGAGCAGATTCAGTGGTCTGAATGGCCTATCACTTCTATATCACATGGCATTATTTTCAGTTTACTGTACGTCAAATCTCGCACGTATGTCACACATCATCCAGGTAGCCCCTCAGCTGTGGCAGTTTTGCAATGTCATAGCTAATAGCGATAATAACAAAAATGATCAGATATTTCTCTCTAATATATTTATTATTATTTTAACATTCATCAGGCACCTTTATCAAAAGCAACTTGCACTTTGGAGTTCTGAAGAAGAGTCAACAGACTTGAAATGTTAATTTGCTTTCTGTCCATGGATGCTGCCAGACCTGATGAGTTTTTCAGTAATTTTTGTTTTTGTACAAAATGTATAATGTGTCCTAACTTAGGCTTTAACATAAATAGATTAAAGATAGGGTATTTGGAAATAGGTTTTGTGAATCAGGGACATTATTTGCATGTTCAGAGACTGTTCCTGGAAAACTTTTAGGATGGTCTTTGAAAGAAGGAGAGATAGGTGGGTGGATTTGGCAGGGAATGTCAAGGCTTTTTAATACATTTGTTCATGGAATGTAGGTGATGCCAGTTTAGCCAACAACCCGTCTCTAAATGACCTTGAGAAAGTAGCAGTGAGCTATCTTCTAGAATCACTGCGGTTCATGGAATGTAGGTACACATATAGTACTATTCAAAGTGTGCAAGGGAGGAACTTAAATATGAGTTATTACAAAGTGAAGTGGCTGGAATATGCTGGGAAAGAGGTTTAACTGCAAAGGTGGTTGAGGAACAGTGGTAGATATTTAGGAAAATAGCTCATGGCTTATGGCAAGTGAAGAAGAAGAGGATAAGCCAACCATAGTCAAACAGGAAAATTAAAGCAAAAAGTCTAATTGAAAGAAAAAAAAACACATGGCAAGATTAGTGATAAGCCAGAGGATTGGGCGAGTTTTAAAAAAACTGACAGAGACCAAGAAAAGGAGAGAAGATAAACTTTGAAGGTACAATTGCAAGTAAAATCAAGAAAAATAGCAAGATTTTCTTTAAATATATAGGATGGAAGAGAGATGCCAAAATGAACATTGGCCCCTCAGAGAACAAGGCTGGGAAAATAATACCGGAGAACCAGGAAATGGCAGAGGAGTTAAATAACTTTGCATCAGTGTTTATGGTAGAAGACACTAAGCATCTCAAAATGACCGAATAATCAAGGGGAACAATAACTTTCATTAGAGAAAAAGTGCAAGGGGAATTGATAGGCCAGTTAGCTTAATGTCTGTTAACTGGGAAAATGTTCAAGTCTGTTATAAAGGATGTAATGGTACAGCATTTAGAAATAAGTAATATGATTAAGTACAGTCAGCATGGCTTTACAAAGGAGAAAGCATGCCTATCAAATTTACTAAAATTATTTGAGGAAGTAACATGCAGG